TTGAAATTAAGTAAAATAGCTCAAATGCATTGCAGAATACAAGCTGAAGATGAGCTGGTAATAGTATCCTAAACGTTAAATTAACACAGTGCCATCTAAGTAATCTCCCCCTTTCACTCTAGTATATAAAATGACTCAACACTTTAGAACAATTTCTTCTGAAAGTCAGTTTATGAAAACAGTTCCTTTACAATTAGAAACTCTAAATCCAGAATTCAAAGCCTATTTCCAAAATAAACAGAAGAAAACGTCTATTATCAGTGAACACAAGTGTATTATTAATTTTGCTTCAATTTATTGAGATAAATAAAACATTTTAAAATTCCACTTATAACCATGCTAAACACCAAGAACTGCAAGGAAAAGAAAATCTAACTGAAAATAGCTGCTGCAAAGATGCAAAATCTTGATGCAAACCTCATACCACAACGTAGAACAAATCACACAAACGTGTTACATCACAAACGTGTTACATCACAGGCCCAATGCTCTTCTAGCCTCCCAAAAGTAAAGCACTTCTAATTAAAATCAAACTCTATTCTAAATTCATTAAATTCAAGCTATCAACATCAAAATATTCCCACTGCACTGCTCCACCAATATTTTATGATACTACAAGTATGAAAGACACAAGATTTTTAAAGACGCTTTACAAAACATTCCCCATCTCAGGAAACTAAGTTTTGAGATTTTACAGTAAAATATTATAAAATAACTTTCACTACTAAGTAAATCACATTGAGTTAGAAATTTGGGGAAAACTGGAAAAATAGTGAATTTAATACCTTCTGGCTTAGTCTTTCTTGAGCAAAGGCTACATCTGTTTTGTAGTACCACAATGCCTTACTTAGAAAATACTCAAAAACGCTAGTCAAACGAACAGAAGTATCTAAATTCATGCGTCTTTTTATTTCAGAAACAAAGGACTGTGCGTATTTCCAAGTAGAATGTGTTCTCAGCATCATACTTTTTAAATTGAAAACTTAATTACCAAAAGTAGGAAACAAGAGGATATGTAAGGGCATCAGAAAGGGGTTTAGTATGAAAATGAAATTTGAAGACATCAGTTTGTAACTCAAATTGACAGTAAATCAGCAAACAGAGGCACCTAAATCTCATTGCCAAGCCCACTTAGTAAATTTCTTTGTAGTTAGAGCATCTTTAATGTGCTAAGCTCAGTAAAAGCAAGTATTCACCATGCAAGACACAGATAGGATTCCCTTAACCTGCTGCCCTTTAGACACATCACTCTCTGTTAAACAGGCAGCGGCCGCCAGATGCTCTCATGGAAAATGGTCCCAGATGGTCAGTTGTCCAGTTAACAGAACGCATTGCCCTCCCAATATCCAGAAGTAAGAAGGAAAGGCATGGGAGCTGTTAACACGCGCCTGCTTTCTGAGTTAAACGTATTCGCCAGCTGTAAGCTCGATGAGGTCCCCAACACTGACTTTCCAGAAAAGGAACACTAGACCACAGGGGGTCTCAAGATCAAAAAGCGCCTTCAGGATGATCTAGTCAACAGCTGTACCATCCACACAACTGCATCCCTGCTAGCAGCCCACGTAGGCAGTGTCTCTGCAGCTCCAGGGGAGTGGAACCTGCTGGCCAACAAGAAAGCTCCTGTGTCTGAAACAGAGGCCTCCCATATCTTGAACTTCAATTAGTTCAACCACTCAGTCTAATTTCAGCCAGGAAACATGGAGCTGTTTTAATAATCATGGTATACTGACTGCAACATAGTATTTTCCAGTTTATGCATTAAAAAAGTGATTTTAAACAGTTACCTCAAATAGCACACAAAATGGATTTTTAACCTTTTAAGAAAAAGGCAAAAATACATAAGCTTTATTTTTAAAACATAACAGAAAATAAAAACTTATCATTGGAAAGCTGTATATCAGGGGCTTGCGCTGTGGCGCAGTAGGTTAACGCCCTGGTCTGAAGCGCCGGCATCCCATATGGGCGCCGGTTTGAGTCCCAGCTGCTCCACTTCCAATCGAGCTCTCTGTTGTGGCCTGGAATAGCAGTGAAGGATGGCCCAAATCCTTGGGCCTCTGCCCCCACTGGGAGATCTGGAAGAAGTTCCTGGCTCCTGGTTAGGACTGGCACAGCTCCAGCCATTATGGCCATCTGGAGACTGGCCCAGTGGATGGAAGACCTCTCTCTCTGTCTCTACTTCTCTCTGTAACTCTTTCAAATGAATAAAATAAATCTTCAAATTGCATCCTTTTTTTTTATATTTCCTTAACAGTGAAGAAAACTGAAGTACTGAGTTTGATCTATGATTCTTCATCAACAATTATCCTAAATCCTATTTGTTACTTGATACAGATGGGACACCTTCAACCCAAAAAATCAAAAATCCAAAACTCCTTGGGTGCCAACATAACACTCAAAACGTTCCAGATCTGCAAGGTGGGCATTTGGACTAGAGGCTAGGGTCTGGTCAGGATGCGTGTGTCCCAGATCAGAGCACCTGGCTTCAACATACACCTGTTCCTGACTCCAGCTCCCTTTAATGTATACCCCGGGAGACAGTGATGGCTAAACTAACAGGCTCCCGGCAACCCATGTGGGAAACCTACTGAGTTCTTGGCTACTGGCTTTAACCTGGCCCCAACTGTTTGTTGCAGGGAGTGAAGTAGTAGCTGGACCTTTCTATCTAATCATCTTTTTTAAGTTTCATAATGGGAACATTTCCAGTTTGGGAATTTCAGATTCAGAATATTCAACCAGTAAAGTCTACACAGATGTTTCAAAATCCCAAAACCTCCAAAATCTAAACATTTTTTGTTCTAAGCATTTTGGGTACTCAATCTGTGCTGAGTAATATTTTCTTGGATAAATAACATGTACATGGAAAAGGAGCATGCACCAAGAAGGGGAACAAATGACACTGTTGACAGTTGGTTGGGCTAATGTCATTTCAGAAACAATAGTTTGAGGAAGGTTAGTCTGAACACATGCAACTTGTCCTTGCTGTTTATAAAACTGTCTGACAGAGATCTAAAGTAAAACTTATTTAACTGAATGCAGATCAAATTAAGAACTGGTGTAACAAAATTATGAGTAAAACACCATCTGGAAAGCTACAGCAAAGAACGGCAGAATGGTGTTCTATATTCTTGCATCTGAAAACAGATTCCCACCACTGCGTCCTACTCAAGAGACTCTGGGCTCCCAGCCTATGCTAGCATGAGGCCAGGAGAGACCCAGAGAAGCAGCCTGAAGTACCCTTCCCTCACTTGCAAAGGACAGTCTGTGAGAGAAGCCAGAGTGCTTTATGTAAAATTCTAATACATGCAGGTGTTCTCTCAGTTCAGCAGGCATTTGGTTCGAAACCATAATTAAAGTGATTTTTTTGCACTTAAGGATAAAATGCCACTCATAAGCAACAAATAGTTAAGTGTGTATTTTTTTAAAGATTCATTAACTTATATTACTTATATTACAGCAAGAGAAGGAGAGACACGAGGGTTTGGGGGGTGGGGAGTTAGATATTCCACCTGCTGGTTCACTCCCCAAATGGCTGCAATGGCTGGCACTGGGCCAGGCTGAGGCCAGGAGCCAGGAGCTTCATTCAGAGCTCTCACGTGGGTGCACGGGCTCAATTACTTGGGCCAACTTCAACTGCTTCCCAGTGCATCAGCAGGGACCTGGACCAGCACCCATATAGGGCACCAGCACTGCAGAGAGCAGTTTAACCTGCTGCACCACAGCACCTGCCCCCGAATGTATATTTTATACATTGTCACATCTTTTTATACTCATATATTCATTTTAGACATACTTTACAAATTTTAAATTAATTTATTTGAGAGGCAAAGACACAAAGAGAGAGACGGAGAGAATGAGCGCTTTTATCTGTTGGTTCCCTCCCCAGATGCCTGCAATGGCTGAGGCTGGGCATGAGCCAAGACCTCAACCAAGGTCCCCGAAATGAGTGGCAGGAACCCAACTACAGGAGCCATCACCACTGCCTCCCAGCATGTACATTATTAAGAAGGTAGAGTCAGAAGCACATCTGGGCCGGTGCCGCGGCTCAATAGGCTAATCCTCCGCCTTGCGGTGCCCGCACACCAGGTTCTAGTACCGGTCGGGGGCGCTGGATTCTGTCCTGGTTGCCCCTCTTCCAGGCCAGCTCTCTGCTGTGGCCCAGGAGTGCAGTGGAGGATGGCCCAAGTGCTTGGGCCCTGCACCCCATGGGAGACCAGGAGAAGCACCTGGCTCCTGGCTCCTGCCTTCGGATAGGCGCAGTGTGCCGGCCGTGGCGGCCATTGGAGGGTGAACCAACGGCAAAAGGAAGACCTTTCTCTCTGTCTCTCTCTCTCACTGTCCACTCTGCCTGTAAAAAAAAAAAAAAAAAAAAAAAAAAAAGAAGCACATATGGGGGATATTAATCACCACCTCTAAAAGTCTTTATTTTATACTAAATGTATTTACATCATGAACTTCCTTTTACCCTGCAAAGATAGAAATAATAGAGAAAACAGCATCTTTCATAATACTAATGAATCCAAACACATGTATTTTTCCAGTGTTTCTGGGGGTAGAACTACAGAAAGTGAATATTTAAAGCTACATGGGTCACATGTAATGGTATTATTTTGTACATAAATATGTGTATCATTTACATGCATAAAGTAACACACATATATACCACTCTGAGGCAAATTCTAAGTTAAACTTAATTACCGAGTACTATGTGACCACTCTACTTCTACCTCACATATGATAATTAATCAGGACCTTACACTACCACAAGTGAACTCTAGAAAGAGAAATGGATTCCCAGAGCTAGGGGAAAGATAGAGGGCTAGCCATTAGTTTAACTCGCCAATGGTCATTGGTGAAAACAGTAGGATATTTGTAGTGATGTAGTAAAAACCAATTCTTCTCTTACTAATGTAAGTCAGTTCCCCAGCCTTGTATCCAGTAACTTTTCCCCCAGCTGGTTAGAGAGGGAGAAAAAAGGAAAATCCCAGCAGAGCCCCACTCACCTAAGCCACTGAGCGTGTAGAGCAGGTCCCCGGTGGCCAAGAAAATGGGCCCGTTCTCCTGCTGCCCCTCTTCTCTGTAGTAGAGCTTGTAGCCCTGAACGGCTGCTGTGTCCTTGGCATCTCGTTGCCACTTCACAGAAATGGTGGTGCAGTTCAGAGGCTCCAAATGTAACTCTGGAGACTTGGGAGCTAGAAAGATTCATCAGAAAACATATGTATACAAACAACCCTCAATCCCAAGGGAGACACAAAATACCGCAGATCTCTCAAGCCAACCGTTAATGAAAATAATTACAATAAATTATACTTTAGCTTAACTTTGAGGTGGAGGTAAGAACATAAAATGCTACCTAAAAAAAGACTAAGACATAGATACTGAAAAAAACTTAGCATATATTTGTAAATTTTTTCCAAAGAAGAAAAACTACTTTTACTCCCTCTATAATAAGAGATCATTTTATAACAACAATAAAAAGTGATAATATATTCCATATTAGTAAAAAGAGAAGGGTCCAGGATTTCCCAGTCTAGGGCAGCTGCCTGGTTCAGCACTTAGGTCACTGCTTGGGAAGCCTGCATCCCATATCAGAGCCTGGGAAGCAGCCCAGCTCCTCTGCTTCTAACCCAGCTTCCTACTAATGTGCATTCTGGTAGACAGCAGATGATACCTCAAGTACCTGGCTCCCTGCCACCTATTTGGGAGACCCACATGAGTTCCAGACTCCTGTCTTGGGCCTGGCCTAGCTTGGCTGTTGCAGGCATTTGGGAGATCAATTTCTCTCTCTCTCTCCTTCTCTTTCATTCTCTCTGCCATTCAAATGAAATAAAAATAAACAAAATTTACAATTCCCCAGTCTTATGGTATAGATTGAACTGATGATTTAAAAAATATGTGGCAATAACATTAAGTCTCTACTAGCTTGCATATTAACTTTGGTAATTTAGGTTGATTCTGGCTAATCTGTCCTTAAGAGGATTTGCTAAGTAAACTAGTAGTGCAAACAAAAGATTTATGCACTAACAAACTCTATACACAAAGGTATGACTAAGTAAGAAGTTTAACTTTTGTTTTCCAGATAAGTGCATGATTTGTGGAATATTTTTATTCATAAAACAAACATAACTTAGAGAAGAAAAATCTGATCCAAAGGTAAAAATACTGTTCTTCTTCTTCAATAGTCTTTGGAAATTTACCTCTCACACTGGTAGCTTTGGGTGTCCTGTGTGAAGTCCACACTGATGACTCTCCCAGCCCCACTCTGGTGGCTGCAGTGATTCGGACCAGGTAGACACTATCAGGCTTCAGGCCTTCCAAAAGGTGCTCATGTGTGGTCCCTGGGAGCTCCAGAACTTGGACGGAGTTCTCAGTACTTAGGCGGAAGGACAGACGATACAACACCACTTGGCCACGTCGGTATTTGGCTGGGATCGGCAGCCAGGAGATGAGAATGTCGGTGGGACTTCGACTTGTCAAACTGATTTCAGGAGGTCTCAGAGGAACTAGTCATACAGGAAAACAGGTTGCCAATAAATACTTAAAACTGGACTGCCACTTAGCATACCAGTACATACTAAATTCTCTTTATAGCAACATTTAACATAATAAAGAAGAGACACTTTGAGTTCTGGCAAAGCTTTTCAGAGAAGCAGAGAACAAACAAACAAAAAAAGAACAAATAACAAGGGAGGACCAAGTGTATGGAGCACAAAAAAGTAAGGTTTTTAATTATTATTGTGATTGTTTTGTAATTTTTAGAGGTGACTGTGAGAATACTTAAACCAAATACAGACTACTTTTCAAGTACTTCCATAGTACCCTTCCCTTAAAGCAAAAGGGAGTGAACTATACAAGAAGGAACAAGCCTAGGACTGCAGTGTTATAATCTGGGAGACAATTATTTGAAGTCTAAGAGTTGCACCTTAAAAATCAGTATGAATTTTACATTCTCACATATGACATTTAACATGAAGAAAGTTTTTCCTCCAGTAATTTATATAAAACTAATATTCCAGGACAAGTCAAGAACAGCTGAAGGCAAACTAACATTAAATGTGAAGACTTTGGTCTAGAGTTAGTCTCTCTGTGTTTTAATTCTTTTTCTACTACTTACTACTCTGTGTGATCTTGGCCAATTAACTTTTCTCTGTCTAGGTTTCTGTATACATACAGTGATGATAATACCTTCTGCTACAGTCTTTCCCCACTCAGTTAATGACAATCATTTGTTCAACTGCTCAAGCCCAAAACCTGGGTGTCAGCCTGGACTCCTATACACCACACTCTACATTCAATGCTGTGGTGCTACAAATCTTCTGCTACTCCCTTGATTCATGCCACCACTGACTTTAGCATGTGTTATTCCAACAGCCTAACAGGTTTACTTGCTTTTATCTATTTTTTTTTAAGATTTATTTATTTATTTGAAAGAGTTATACAAAGAGAGAAGGAGAGACAGAGGCAGAGGTGGAGAGAGAGAGGGAGAGGGAGAGGGAGGGGGAGAGAGAGAGAGAGAGGTCTTCCATCTGCTGGTTCACTCCCCAATTGGTCACAACAGCCGGAGCTGTGCCAATCTGAAGCTAGGAGCCAGGAGTCTCTTCTGGGTCTGCCACGCAGGTACATGGGCCCAAGGACTTGGGCCATCCTTTACTGCTTTTCCAGGCCATAGCAGAGAGCTGAATCGGAAGTACAGCAGCTGGGACTCAAACCGGTGCCCATATGGGATGCCAGCACTGCAAGTGGGGCCATACCTATGCCATAGCACTGGTCCCATACCTATTTTCTTAAAACACTGGCTTGTTCAAATGCAAGTCAGATCACTCTTCTACTCAAAATAGTTCAAATTTCACTCAAAAGTAACAGCTCGAGTCTTCATTAGGACTTCATAGAAAGCCCTGTCTGTAAGGCAGGCTCTCATTATTATTTGCTTCATCTTCTATGGCTTTCCTGTTGTCCCCCCTGCTCCAGCCATGCTTTTGCCCTCCACGAGCTCTGCCTAGAACACACTTGCCCCAGTCATCTGCAGAGTCAGCTCCCTCACTTTCATTTCTTTCAGTTCTTCATTCAAATGTCACCTATTCAGTGAGCCCTCCTCTGGTGCTGACTCTGTTTAAAGTCTCAAATCCTCCCAACACTTCACGTTCTCCTTCCCTGAATCTTGTATTTTTCCTCCTTTTTTTGTTTGAAGATTTATTTATTTATTTGAAAGGCAGAGTTAGAGAGAGAGAGAAAGAGAAGACAGAGAGATCCTCCAGCCTCTGGTTCATTTCCCAAATGGCTGCAAAGACAAAGGCTGGGCCAGGCCAAAGACAGGAGCCTGGAGCTTCATCCTGGTCTCCCACAGGGGTGCAGTGGCCCAAGGACTTGGGCTATTCTCCACTGCCTTCCCAGGCACATTAGCAGGGACTGGATGGGAAGTGGAGCAGGGATGCCAGCACTGCAGACAGCATCTTAACTTGCTGCGCCACAGCACTGGCCCCTTCTACTTCTTAAGGAGAAGTGACACCATTTGTAAAGTCAACAACAGGAGTCACTGTGCACTTACTCCTCATGTAGGATCTCTGTCCTTAATGTGCTGTACACTGAGGCTTAATGCTATAACGAGTACTCAAACAATATATTTCACTTTGTGTTTCTATGGGGGTGCAAACGATTGAAATCTTTACTTAATGTACACTAAACTGATCTTCTGTAAAAAAAAAAAAAAAAGAAATTATCAATTCCCAACTTGACTCTCACTGGGATTAAACATGACAATAGGTCTGATCTGATTTCATCATCATTTAAAAAAAATCATCTATTATTTTTCACTTTATGTTTCTGTGTGGGAACAAACTGTTGAAATCCTTACTTAAGGTATACTAAGCTAATCTTCTGTATATTAAGATAATCGAAAATGAATCTTGATGTGAATGGAAGGGGAGAGGGAGTGGGAAAGGGGAGGGTTGTGGGTGGGAGGGACGGTATGGGGGGGAAAGCCATTGTAACCCATGAGTCGTACTTTGGAAATTTATATTCATTAAATAAAAGATAAAAAAAAAAAAGGAGAAGTGACACCTATCGCTATCATAGTATATAATTACTGTTTACCCTATTTATTGCTGCTCCCACTAGCAAGTAAGCTGTATGAGGTAAGGGACACTTCTTCATACGTTTTGTTCACTACTAAGTGTTGAATAATACACAGCAAGCACTCAGTAAGTATTTACTGAATGAATCAAAAAGAATGCGGAAAATTAAAGGTTAATTTGTTAAGCACTTCTGAGTCCTTTCTGTGTATGGATGCATTAATTCTCAAAGAAATTCAATGACTGACATCCCATTATCATTTCCACTTTATAGCCAAGGAAAGCGAGGTATAGAGAGGTAAAATCACTTTCCCAAGGTCACACAACTAGTAATCGAAAGAGCCCGAGACAGACTACAGAGCCCACACTCCTATCCTCTAGACGCTCGTGGCTCTTACATAATAACAGTTCTCGTATTGCAGAGTTATGGAGGAATTAAGTGAGATGACAGAAACGAGGATTTTAGAAGGGACACACAGTGAGCTCTCTTAAGTGTCTTGCTGTTTGTGGCACAGATGTGGCTCTGTATCCAGAAACAAACATTTCAGTTTGAGGTGGTGGACTAAGAAAATGGTGCAGGTGCTGGTGCCATGACGCAGTTGGTTAAGCCTCCATCTACAGTGCCAGCATCCCATATGGGCACTGGTTCAAGTCCCGGCTGCTCCACTTCTAATCCAGCTCTCTGCTATGGCCTGGGAAAGCAGTGGAGGATGGTCCAAGTCCTTGGGTCACTGTATCCACATGGGAGACCCAGAAGAAGCTCCTGGCTCCTTGCTTCAGCCTGGCCCAGCCCCAGCCATTGCAGCCATTTGAGGGGTGAATCAGTGGATGGAAGATTCTCTCTCTTTGTAACTGTCCTTCAAGTAAACAAACAAATAAATAAAATAGTCCAGAAATTTGAAAAGCAGTGTCAGAAGGTCTGTATGCTATCTACAAAACAAAATGAACTTCATCAAATGAAAAAGCTCTGGAGAAGGAAAGGTTTAGAGGAGATCCTAACTGCAATGCCAAACTAACAAGTCGCCTGCTGTGCTTAAATCATGATCTTTAAGGATGTAGAGGGAGAATATGAGGACACTTTAAAAAGCACATAGAAAGATGGAGTTAAAAGATAAATTTACTTTGGCACAAGTCAATTTTTAAATCCATGCACAGTTTTTTCAAAATATGTATTTTCATGAACTTTTGAAAAGTGCTTCATACACACACACAAATCAGCCTGTGCTTTATCTCAGACATGCACAGCAGAGGCTATTAAATGACAGAACCAGAGATATTATATATACTGTGGCTCACTCTAACAAAGACTAAGCTCTTAAATGAAAACAAAAATTTGGAATTCAACATCCAGACAAGTGAACATTTTTTCATTTAGTCAAACTCTGACTGTATAAACATCTAAGTAAGTGGCATTGTACAGCTATAAGGAGGATCTCTGAGACCAAATTAGCAAAAGCAGAGAATGGGAATTTTATTTATATATATATATATATATATATATATATATATATATAAAAATAAATGTTGTGGAAACCTCGTGCAGCATTTTCCGAGGTTGGAAGTAGTATAACTGGGCATATGTGATGTAATTCCCTGTCCTGTGGTGCAGGGTACAAACACGGGCCTGCTGGAGCCCCCACAGAGAGAGACCCTTTCTTCCATACACAATGTGAAGAGTGAGAGGAGCAGGCCAGTTGCTGTGGCTGTCCTGATACATGGCATTTCCTATCTCACACATCTTGCCAACCCTCACAAGAATAACTCAATTTCTAACCCATGGTCAAGAACACACTGAAACACCTTATACCTCATAATAAAGCAAGAGCTACTAGGCTATCTAAAAAAAATTTATGAACTGATAAATACCAAATTTCATTAACTTCTAGTTTCAGCAATCCAGTATCATAAATCTTCAGTCATTATATACATTCAACATGTAATAGTCAATATATTTACTTATTCATAGATAAACTCAAATTCTGTTTGAGTTTTAATTAAAAAATATTGTAATGTGTTCACAATTTAAACTAGGAACTAGGACACTGGGGTTGGGGGCAGCAAATGACCTAGTAGTTAAGACACCACTTGGGACACTCACCCCAAGTACCAGCCCTGCTCCTGATTCCAGCTTCCTACGAATGAGCATCCTGGGAGGCAGCAGATGATGGCTCATGTAGTTGGGTCCCTGCCACTCATGTGGGACAGCCAGACTGAATTCCCTTTGTCCTGGCCTACTCCCAGCTGTTACAGGAATTTGGGGAGTTAATCAATGGATGGGAGAGTGCTCTCCCTCTCTCTCTCTTTTTCAAATAAATAAAAAACTTTAAACTAGGAACTTTGGAGAAACATAAAGGCAATCCAATCATGTCATTATTAAAACTTATATTATGAATCAGAAATAAAACTCTTTAAGCTTTATTTATTTATTTGGAAGGAAAAGTTGAGAGGGAGAGACAGAGACAGAGAGATCTTCCATCTGCTGATTCACTCCCCAGATGGCTGGAATGGCCAAAGCTAGGCCTATCTGAAGTCAGGTCAGGAGCTTCCCCCAGGTCTGCAACATGGGTGCAGGGGTCTGAGCATTTGAGCCATCTTCTGCTGCTCTCCCAAGTGCATGAGCAGGGAGCTGGATAGAAAGTGGAGCAGCTGGGACTCAAACTGGTGCCATATGGGATGCCGGCACCGCAGACAGTGGCTTTACCCACTACGCCACATCACGGGCTCCAGAAATAAAATTCTTTATCCTTATCACATTACTAGCCAAACAACTTAGAACAAGTTAGATTTGAAATGGTAAACCAACCTACTGTTTCATGTATCTGGCTATATAACCCAAAAAGCAGATAATTTCTCTAATTAACACATACATTAAATTGAAATTAATTAAGCCTATGAATGCTCATACTTCAGTGATCTAGAATCATGTTTTCTTACCATCCTCTAGAGTATTCTGCGTAACGTGATCAGACATCTGGCTGGCTCCCATTGGCATATAAGCCACAATGTAGAAAGTATAATTACTGGCAGGTTCCAAGTCATCAATAATATAATGCGTCGTGTCATTTCCGAGGACTACTTGATACTCTTCATTATTTAAACCTTGATTAAAGAACCCAGGTTTAAAAATCGTGAATATTCAAAATGAAATGAGCAAGACCACTGGTTGGTTGGTGGGTCCAATCTGTCACCTTGTCCATCCCTTTACAAAATGTGTACGAGAAGGTCTTTATTTTTAAAAAGTAAACCATGTCTTGCTACAAAGCACTCATCTGAATTTTTCCTGAATAAATCCAACTAAGGAGAATTATTGTCTCTAAGCTTCATTTAGCATCTAGTCAAAACCCACGGTGAAGACCATGTACAGTAGTAACAGCAGAGTACTGTAATTCATAACTCTAAGTTCTACTTGCTTAAGTGCATGGTTTCTCTTTTTTTTTCTTTTAAATCTAAATGGAGCAAACAGTAGGAAATGTAATGGCTCTGTTCATTATAAAAACAAACCAAACCAGAAGTTGTCCTGCAAAAGATCTCAATTCACCCCTACAGATTCTATTATATTGGACTGATGTAAGCTGTTCTCTTATCTACCCTGAAAGTAGGTGAGCTGAGAGCACAGAGTGCGCTTCAGAGTGCTTTGTCCCACAGTGAGCTTTCATTTTTTTTTTCTCACAGAAAAAAATTCTCACCAATTCTTAATAAAATATGCATGGCAAGGTACAGAAGAGGATTTGTCTTTGTGGGACTGAATTCCTACAGAGCCAACCTGCAAAGTGGAACAAGAGCACTGGCAGCTAATGTGCTTTGCTAACAATTCACAGTAAATGCCCGTCAACTTACATCAAAACTCACTAAGGACCCCAGTCCCTTCTCCCCACGCTGGAGTTGCAAACAAAACAGAAGGCAAATTCCAGTATTAAGTTTTCCCACAATTCTGAATTAACTTGATAGCATTTTAATTAGACAAGATTACAGGCATTTCACAACAGACTGGCTAATGGCTTGTTAATTAGGAGCCGCATAGTACGATTTCTGACCCACCAAACAAGCTCCTTGAGTTCGAATTAAAAAGCCTTGTTCTGTCCCTGAATAGCCCACTGAGCCGCATGTGGAGGCTCTAATGAAACAATCATAAAAGCGAACAAGAGGGTCTCCACCAAAACCAGCATTCCTTTTACCTTCCTAAATCACTGAAAGGGAATTAACATACTCCAACATGCTCAGTTATCAGACTTTCATTCTTCTTGCTACCATGACCCCTGATTCACATTCAAAATACTCCTTTTCAAAACACTACTTCAAAGTGCAAAACAAAAAAAAACTAACAGCAACAGCAAAAACAAACCACCTGTTCCTACAGACAATTTAAATAAATCACCAATCTTAGGGAATTTGAATTTGTTTTTCATGTTTACTGAATATTGCATAAAAGTTAAGCTGATAGTGGTTTAAAACTAGAATCTATTGGTTTCTATGAAAAGTCAATAGAGAAATCTCTAGCATTTATAAATGGCTTTTCTTTTTCCTGTGAGACTTTTGCTAAAAGTAAAATGTAAGTATAAAAATCATAATGGAACCAATAATTCTGGATAAAAATTTTAACACATATTTGATTTCTACTTTTACACAAGTGAGATATCAATAAAGAATATCTTGTTCAATTTTCAGAGAGTTCTTCGTGATTTCAGAAAACATTCAGATTATACAAAATCAAATACATGATGAAGTTCATATTTATTTTCTTCCTTAAAAATAACACCTTGGTGTCAACAGATTACCATATTACTATAATAAACAGTAATACCACCATTCTTATGTAACATATTGGTATATTAAATCTCATGTAAGGAATTTATACATTAGCTGTGTAAGATTCCTAAGTACTTGGTAATTTTTTACAGATGGAGATACTCTGCATTAGCTGGTACTTGTTTCTAACAAAAATTCCAACTATATTTACATATACAAAGTAAACAAAGATAGGAAATTTAGGAAAAAAAAAACAGATTCACAGGTGATAGATTATTTTACTAAAGAGATAAATGCCACAGAATTTCAAAAACATTTTGCGGGTTATGTAAAACACCACTTATACTGAAAATAAATCTCTGACAGCAAATGGCACTTAAAAATAAACACTGTTCACACTGCTTACCTTCTGCTTTCATGTAGTGCACAGAATAAGCGATGACTTTGTCTGAATTATAAAGTGGCCTCTCCCAAGCTAAAAGGATGGCTGAACTGGACATAGTTTCAGCATGCACGTTATAGGGGGCACTGGGTCTGTCTTCTGACATTACTACAGTCAGTCTGGCTTTAGATAAAACAGATCCTTGGCTATTCTCAGCCATGCACTGATAAATTGCATCATCTTCAGGAATTATTTGGTTAATTACCAGTTTACTGAGGAAAGAAAAAAAAGCATTTATGTCTAGGAAAAATTACAAAAATAACACAAAAGTCACTTTCAACTACTGCTAAATGTGCTCAGAAATTTGGTGACAAAAATAACTAAACCTTTCTCTCTGTCTCACTGTCCACTCTGCCTGTCAAAAAAACAAACAAACAAACAAACAAAACAAAACAAAACACACACACACACACACACACACACACACACACCTCTGTGTAGGGGCCGGCGCTGTGGTGTAGTAGGTTAAGCCTCTGCCTATGGGGCATTTGGGATGCCGGTTCGAGTCCCGGCTGCTCTGCTTCTGATCCAGCTCTTTGCTATGGCCTGAGAAAGCAGAGGTAGATGGCCCAAATGTTTGGGCTCTGCACCCATGCAGGAGACCCAGAAAAAGCTCCTGGCTCCTGGCTTCAGATTGGCCCAGCTATGATCATTGCGGCAATCTGGGGAATGAACCAGCAGATGAAGACCTTTCTCTCTGTCTCTCCATCTGTAACTCTGCCTCTCAAATAAATAAATCTTTTTTATTTTCTTTTTATTTGAGACATCGAGTTAGACAGTGAGAGAGAGAGAGAGACAGAGAGAAAGGTCTTCCTTCCGTTGGTTTACCCCCCAGATGGCTGCTACGGCCAGAGCTACACAGATCCGAAGCCAGGAGCCAGGTGCCTCTTCCTGGTCTCCTATGCTGATGCAGGGGACCAAGCCATCCTCCACTGCCTTCCCAGGCCACAGCAGAAAGCTGGACTGGAAGAGGAGCAACCGGAACTAGAACCCAACGTCCATATGGGATGCCTCTCAAATAAATAAATCTTAAAAAAAAAAAAAAAACTGCAATCAACTCAAATGAAAAATATTCTATACTAATTACGTATAATTACTTTTAATTATTTTCCGAGTCTATTTAAGTATCTGTGATCTCCAAAACCTGTCTGCTTTTGGTGACATCTTAATCTATTTTTTAAAATTTGGCTTTTAGGGACTGCATTGTGGCATAACGGGTTAAACCTGTAAAGCTGGAATCTCATATGGGCACTGGTTCCTATCCCGGCTGATCTAGCTCTATTCAGATGGCCTAGGAAAAACAGCTGAGGACAGCCTAAGTACCCAGATCCCTGTCACCCGCGTGGGAGACTCAGAAGAAGCTCCTGACTCCTGGCTTCAGCCTGGCCCAGCACTGGCCATTGCAGTTATTTAGGAGTGAACCAGCAGATAGAAGATCTCTTTCTCTGTAACTCTGACTTCCAAAAATAAATAAATAAATAAATAAATCTTTTTTAAAAATTTGGCTTTAAGAAAGCATATTACTCTATAGTAGTACCCAACTTATGCAATATTACAATATATATACACAAAATTCAAGTTAACCAAAATTTTTAAGGTTTCTTCAAATAAGAATGTTAAATGAATTCATATTTATATTAATACAAGTTAGTTCTTAAAGATCATCACGTTTGAGCTGTGGAGAATTTTTAAAAAAAATTCTTCTTTTTTTTTTTTTTACTTTATTGTGGTATATTAGCTAGTGGCTTATCAAAATTGGCTCCTGGGTCTGGGGAACCATCCAACGTTCATATCATTCTAATTTACCAGTTCCATGATCCACATATAAAATACAGATGGACCGTCTGTATTTTAGTTTAATTCAGCTTTAACTACCAAGTAAGTATTTGATATTATAACCATTTTATATAAATATTATAGTAGCAAAGTGATATAGCCTACCTGTTATACATTTTAATTCTACCATTTGAGTGAATCTTCCTTCCATTCTTCAACCATGACATTTTGGGTGAGGGAATTCCTTCTGCCTGACACACAAATCGAGCCGTGCCGGCCCGAGGCCTTGTTAAACTTTCTGGCCATTCAACAAATGAAGGAGGAGCTATTTTTGAAGAAAAAAGAAACAAATTTCTGTGGTCCCAACAGGACATCAAGAGTACAGCAAATGAAGCAAGTTCTTTTCCTGAATATGCCTCTTGTTCACATTGCTATGTATCTATCCATGTGATTTTTGCATCAGTTAGTGTCCACTTCCTCTGTGTTTTCTCTATTGAGACCATCTATATAAACATATTAAAAAATGTGTTCCCACAACCCTACTCAATGGATAGAGGTAACAAATGAATAAAATTTTGGAATGGTGAATGCGCATATGGATTTGTGGGTGGGCAAGGAGAAGTTAAAAGGGGAGCTTGAATTAAAAGGAGCAGAATGGTATGCATGCAATACATGCATGGTGATTTCAGAATGATTCTGTAGTGTTATTTTAACATAGGGATTTAATTTTCTCCTAAAATTCCTTGTTGGATTATAAAACTTCCTGTTAACCTTCATATCAATGCCACAAAGCTAAGAAGCAAAAGCAAACTATGAATGAGGTCAACATTATTTGGATAATTCAGCCAAAGTTTATGTCTCAGTAGATACACTGGCTCAGGAGGATGCTGTACCAGCCTATTGTGATCTGTAGCACCAGCCACACCCCTACCAGGATGAGGTTTCAACATGCTCAGGTATTTGAGGGGGCTGCAGGATCAGTGAACAAGTGGTTAATGGTTCTGATGAGAAGCTGGTGTGTCCCATGTGATCCCAGGTTTCAGAAGCTGGGGAGTCTCCAGCAAATGATGTATCCCATTATGTGTCATCATAAACAATAAAATTATTTCTTTCCCCAAAAAGTGACAAACATTAAAACATAATTTCTCCTGACTGTAGAATGAAAGAAAACATACCTAATACAGTTAAAGTTGCCATAGCAATGGTAAAGTTGCGGGTGCCGGGGGTTGTGGCCCGACAAACATAGACTCCAGCATGCTGCAGCTTGGCATCAGATATCATGAGGTTACCATTTCCAAGTACCCGTGTATTAAAGACATCAATGGATTTGTGATCTATTTCAAAGAGAACACTTCAGTTAAAGCAATGGGACTTATAACCTAAAATTATGTCAAAAGACCACCCTTCAGGTAATTCATCATGAAAAGTACCAATCTGTCCATATTAAATCCTGTTCTCTATCAACTGAAATGCCAAGAAGTCATTCAACTGTCAAGCTTGCATTTAGTACATAAAACAAACATTTTTACCAGCTTCATTAGCATGAACCAAGTTTAAGGAGAAACTTTTCTTCTGAGAACACTCACCAAGACGGCTCCAAGAAATGATCGGCTTGGGATTTCCTGTGGCCATGCATTCCAAAACAACAGTTTGATGCAGAGACACAGTCATGTTCTGTGGGCCAGCTATAATGGTTGGTGAGTGGAAGAGTTTAGTCTCCTCAGCTTTGGGGAGAAACAGACAAAATATAAAAGCAGGCTATAAGTAAAATGAACTCAAACAGCTATTCCTAAATTATCATTTGCTTTCCATTTAAAATATTGAGATTTAACATACATACAAGACACTCATTAAAGAATGCAATTCAATAGTTTTTAGAATTTTAGAAGTTGTAGAACTATTACTACAATTAATTTTTGAACATTTTCATCACCCCCAAAAGAAATCTCATATTCCATACTCACTCACTGTCACTCCCCAATCTCCTCTCTCCAAAGTCTAGGAATCATTAACCTACTTTCTCTTACTTGGATGCTTTGTATGGTCTTCTTGACTTGCCTCTTTTCAATTACTGTTTATGTTACCAAAGTTCATCTATGTAGTAGCATGTATCTTTTTTTAATAGCTGAATATTTAATTATATAATTGACATTATAATTCAGTAATAAGGACAAAAATACTTGAATAATATTTAATTATATGGATAAAACCATTTTATTTATCCACTCATCAGTTGATAGACATTTAGTTATTTGCATATCATTCACCTTTTTTTCTACAAGATTTACTCATTTATTTGAAAGGCAGAGTTACAGAGAGAAAAAAAGAGACAGATGTGGTTCACTCTCCAAATGGCCACAACGGATGGAGCTGGGCTGCTCTAAAGCCAGGAGCCAGGAGCTTCTTCTGGGTTTCCCATGTAGGTGCAAGGGCTCAAGAAATTGGCCCAATTTTCACTGCTTTCCCAGGCCATTTGCAGGGAGCTGGATCGGGTCTGGACTCAAACCGGTGCCCATATGGGATGCCGGTGCTACGCACAGTGGCTTTACCAAGTCACACGCCAGTCCCTATCATTCACTTTTAACTGAGGTTCAAACCTTCATTTAATATGTTTACTAATCTTGGTAAGGTTTTATATGACAGTGGGACAGAAGGAATGCTTCTGTTCTTGTCATTCATACTAAAATGCTAGCAGATCCAACCTCAACATAAAGCACAACATTAAAAAAATCTAGCTCCAGCCTTAAAGTTCTTCAAATTTTCTTTTGTTTAAAACCTTAAGGATCTTTTAAGAGGTAATGTTCCAGATGAGAAATAAACATTCACATAAAATTCAACAATGTCATTAGTCTAAGATGTTGAAATAACAGAAATCAAGTTAACCTGTGAAAGAAGAGTTATGAATAGATAAAAATGACGGTTTTGCAAACAGATTACAATAATTTAAATTAAAATATAACTTTATGATATACTATTACAATTGAAGGAGAAAAAGTAATAGCTGGGCTAAAAATCATGAAAACAGACTAAGTCTCTTTTGTGTGGTACCTGGAATCACTATTAGAGAGGCCTCCAAACTTTTACGTTTGTGGGCCACAGTAGCAGCAACACAACGGTAATTCCCAGCATCCCTCTGGCCCACATCATAGATCTGCAACACTCCTGTCGGAAGGACGGTTACCCTGTTTTGAGAAGAAAATTAATTACACTTCTTGTAACATATTATTATTAAACATATTCTGTAATAGGAATTAACATAATCTTTGCAGTGCTAGAAGCAATAGTTCAAAGATCTTTTTAGAACATTACCTTAATTTTATTGTTTTAATTCGGATCACTAAAGCCCTTTAAAACATAAATAATTCTGCCTGACAGTCTGTGAAATCCATTAGCTTAATTTTACACAGAGAGATTCATTTGACATTCTAACTTAGCTTTAGCCAATTAGTATCCCAGAGCTTAGTTTGATTTTTTTCAAATTCCTAATTTTTAGAAATGTGTTAATATTAATGCATTCTCCAAGCTATACCTGAATGAAAATTTTTAAAAATTAATAAAGTGAGGGGAGGGATGGAAGCGAATAACATTATATTTTTAGAACTGTATGTACAAATCATACTGACTCTGTTAAAATTAATTTAAAATTAAAATAAAAAGAAGAAAAAGTAAAAACTTAAAAAACAAAAACCTTAACAGGAAATATTAAAATTGCTGGCTGATGGTGGTTTTAGAAACTCCTGAAAAGCAGTTAAACTGTGAAAGCATCACCTGCTCAGCAGGGTATCCTCAGGATGTAGAAATTCTAAACTGAGTAAAACGTAGATGAGCACTGCTGGTGTGAAGAAATTGGTAACGGTTACCTCAAGGGAGAGAAACTGGGTTTCTGAGTAAAATCTGGGAGGAAGATTATTCACTATATTCCCTTGTGTATTATTTTTTAATGTGAATGTATTACATGCCCCAAAATCATTATAGTTGAAACTTCACAAATTAAAAATAAAATAATAAAGTACTTCTTTGAGTAACTTCTTTCATGCTAGAGCTCTGTCATTTTAGCAAATTATTTTTGTCTCCTTAGGAACAGGGCAAGAATCAAACTTTTTGGAGCTGCTTCCAGTTCTCGATCCCTAAACCCTAACCACCCTTGGAGCACTAGGCATCCATGTATACATGTATCTGTGTGTGCATGTGTATAATGAACAGAGGACTTGGGAATAGAAGGAATGGGCAGTTACCAGGGCATACATGGGAGATACTTAAACGATCACTGCTCTTCCCAGCAGTGAAGTCATAATTTAGTTTCCTAAAAGCTTACGCTACAATTCAGGTGCTCAGATGGTCCAATGACTGGAACAGATGGTTGATGATTGGAACATGAATTATGATCTGAGCCACGAATATGTGCCAGAGATTCCTGATCTAACGCTTTGCCTACGTTTGAAATATTTAATAATCAATTATTGCCAACCAGGCCTTTCCTCCTATATAGCTTCCTTTGAAGTTTTCATTACTCCTCTATCACCTCCAAAGACAAAAGCTGCATTTACCTGTCCATAGTTATAGGTAGAGCTGTCCGATTGAACTCCCATGTTATGACTGCAGGAGGGTTAGATGAAATCTTGCAGGCAAATCTAGCAACTCCACCATCCTGGACCTCGGTGGAAACTGGCTGCACTTCAAATGCAGAAATAGCTATAAAATAAGGTTGAACCAATTCATTGTGAGGACATGATGACTACATTTAGAAAACACACTATGCTGGATGTTATTCATCAGGCTTGAGCACCTGCTCAAACGTCTAACGTAACCAGGACAAAGATAATTCAGTAAATAATTTTGGAAAAAACACTGGGCAATTGCTCACAATGGAAGAAGTCTGTCTTTCACAGAATTAAATTCTAAAAAGATTCTCAAGAAATTTACTATCTATTTAGGAGGGGAAAAAGTTAACACTAATGAAGCAAAAATAAACAATTAATAATGGCATACAATTACCAAATGATGTAGTACAAACTTCAAACACTACTGTATATCAGAGGAGAGGGAAAGAAAGACCAACTAGACAGATAAAAACCACTTACAGGAAAAGGTTCTGAAAAGGAAGATTCCACTGTGTGTAGATGAAAGATACAAAACAGGACACTCAAGATGCAAGAAATAATATGAACACAGTAAAAGACACCCAGCTGGTGCCTCCAGAATTCTGAAGGAACACCCAGGACTGCTGCAGAATATTTCAGATTAAGGACTCACGGGAAAGAAGAGTAGGAATAAAGCAGATATGTACTGTGGTACAAACTAATACATCAATGAAGATGTTTGAACAGAAGAACATCATGATAATAGTACGTCTGGGGAAAATTAATCAGACAGTCACTAAAAAGGAGGAACTGAGAAAAAAGTCTCAAGTCAACTGTCCAACAGGTTGATTAAAGAAGAATGACAGAACTGGGTAGTGGCAGTGAGAAGGGAGACATTCTGGAGATATCGTAAAGAAAACAAAGGCTTGTTTCTTCTTGGACACAGAACCATGACTGTGTTTAGAATCAGAAAGTGGTACTGATGGAGCAGAATTAGAAGAGAGAAGACAAAGGTTCATCTGATGAATAAAAGGCAGAGAAACTTAAGAGACAGTTTTCTCAAAACAGTCTCCAAGAGGTGTTGTTTTTAGAGGTAATTCTTCTTTACTATTATAAAGCAGTCCTCCAGGAAGTAGTCTTCAAATCCATGGGTTTACATTTCAAAGTACTCCAGACTCCAAACAACAGCAGGGTCTCCCATTCCTCTAGTCAGTTTCAAGATGGAAAGCAAGAACCCTAGTTACTGCCTTAATCCCCAGCCTCAGACTCTAGCTCAAAAAACAGGTCTTTATAGCTTATTAATAAAGTGAAATATGAAGAAATGCCAAGGAGAAAGGGGCTAGATGAATTGATGCTTCATTAGCCTTGCACTGATTTTATCTGTATGTAGATAAAAAGTCACATGCCTGATGAGGTACAGGACAAGGCCAATGAAATGCACTGACGAGAATGTATTTCCCAAAATGGTGGAATGAAGCAAATTAATACTATGTGTATGTAACAAAAATTTCTAACTGTTGTCAGTGGATCCTTAGAGTCAAAACCTTTGTCATAAAAATCACCATATGCCATTTTCAGTCCATTAAAAGTGTACAGGGAGAATTCCAAGATGGTGGAATAAGGAAGGCACTTACTGTTCTAGTCCAGTGGAAGACAGTTAAAAAAAAAAAAAAGAGAGAGAGAGAGAGAGAGAGGAGAGGGCACAATCTCAGGAAGGAGTTAGGGACAAAACTGCAGAGGAGGTCGGCGCCATGGCTCAATAGGCTAATCCTCCGCCTGTGGTGCCGGCACACTGGGTTCTAGTCCTGGTCGGGGCGACGGATTCTGGGATTCTGTCCCGGCTGCCCCTCTTCCAGGCCAGCTCTCTGCTATGGCCTGGGAGTGCAGTGGAGGATGGCCCAAGTGCTTGGGCCCTGCACCCCATGGGAGACCAGGAGAAGCACCTGGCTCCTGGCTTCAGATCAGCACAATGTGCCAGCCGCAGCACGCCGGCCGCAGTGGCCATTGGAGGGTGAACCAATGGTAAAGGAAGACCTTTCTCTCTGTCTCTCTCTCACTGTCCACTCTGCCTGTCCAAAACAAAACAAAACAAAACAAAAACCCCAGAGGAAATTTCACGCAAGAGGGACACTATGGAGCTACGTAAAGGGTATGGACACCCACAACTCAGGACCCCAACAGCAGAGAAGCTTAGCGCCGGCTTAGGAGAGTAAGGTGAGACCAGACTACAGAAGCCCAAGCCACTGGCAATAAAGCACACAAGAAGAGCCTGGTGTGAGTCTAGCTTGGAGCCCAGTGGGGGACGGTATACCCAACAAATTACAGGAAAGGAGGGGGGGCAAAGTTTCCTTCTCTCTGAATACCCAGCACCAGCATACTGTAACTAGCTGAGAGAGAGTGGTGCCATTATGGACATATGCAACAGTTGCACCAGGTTGTGTCTCTGCAACCAGCAACCACCTGAGAGGAGATGCCCTAGTCTGGCAGGGAGAACTTATCGGGCACTTGTGACTGTGTGAGTTTGTATGCTAGGACTGTAAAAACACTGTGGCTGCATGGGAGGGCACAGGGTGTGGCAGCGTGAATCAATATTGCACCCAATGGGGCTAGCCCCCAGGCATTGGGTCTCCTTGGAGGAGAGGTGAGCTCCAGGCTACAACAACAGAGCTGATCAAACCTAACCTCTGATAAAAAAAAAGGGGGGGGGGGCGGAGAGAGAGACAAAGAGATTTACCACACCCGACTTGAGTGTCACCTTGGACACTCCCCTCACCCTGGAGCACTGAACAGAGCTACCTGGCCACACCCACTACATGCGTCTGGGTACTCACTAAAAGAGCAGACACTCCAGTAAGCCACAGAGGCACAGTCCAAAGATAAAAGCCATCATGGGGTGGGGGAGAACAAGTATCTCCACAAAATCTAAAAATAAATGTGGAAATTCAAGAAACAAGAATAAGGAAGATAACAAGATACCCCAAAAGGACCACAACAACATGTCAATACTAAAATGTGAAAATGAAGAGACTGAAGAAATGCTGGAAATAGATTTCAAAAAATTGATCATAGGATTACTCAGAAATAATCAGAATAAAATCCATGAATTAAAGAAATCCATACATGATATGAATGAAAATATTTGCCACGAAATTGCTATTTTAAAGAGAAATCAAAACGAAATGTTGGAAAAGAATTCAACAGAACAAATAAAAAATGTGGAAAGCCTTAACAGACTCGGTGAGGCAGAAGAAAGAATGTCAGAGTTAAAAGACAAATCTCTGGAAATTTTAGTCAGACCAAAAACAGAAGAAGAAATTAGAAAACTAAAAAACAATGTTGGAGATTTATGGGATAGTATCAAATGACCCAACATACAGGTCTTAGAATTGCTGAAGGTGTGGAAAGAGAACATATTAGAAGGCTTTTTTAGTGAAATAATTACAAGAAACTTTCCTAACTTGGAGAAAGAAAGGGGCATCCAAGTATAGGAAGCACAAAGAACTCTTAATAGACATGCCAGAAAAGATCTTCACCACAACACACTGCAGTCAAACTCTCCACAGTAAAACAAAGAAAAGATTCTAAAATGTACATGAGAGAAATGCCAGATTACTTTCAGAGGATCTCCAATTAGACTCACAACTGATTTCTCATTAGAAAACCTACAGGCTAGGAGAGAATGGAATGATACGTTCCAAATTTTAAGGGAAAAAAAACTGTCAATTCAAAATACTATACCCTGAAAAGCTCTCATTTATGAATGAGGCTGAAATAAAGACCTTACATAACAAGCAGAAACTGAAAGAATTTTTCACCACTCATCCAGCCTTACAATTGATGCTTAAAGATGTACTACACACAGAAATACAGAAACATGGTCAACACCATGAAAAAAGGTAAAGGAAGAAAATCTCCCAGTAAAATACAAAATAAATCCAAAGTAAACAATAGGAATATTTATGAAAAAATGGCAGGGCCAAATCATTACTTATCAACAGTCACCTTGAATATAAATAGCCTCGACTCTCCAGTTAAAAGATACAGATTGGCTGAATGGATTAAAAACAAGACCTGGGGCCAGGACTGTGGCACAATAGGTAAAGCCACCACCTGCAGTGCTGGCATCCCATACGGTTGCCAGTTCAAGTCCGGCTGCTCCACTTCCAATAGCTCTCTGCTATATGGCCTAGGATAGCAGTGGAGGATGGCAGTGGAGTCCTTGAGCCCTGCACCCTCCTGGAAGGCCCAGAAGAAGCTCCTGGCTTCTGGTTTCAGTTCAGTGCAGCTCTGGCCATTGTGGCCAATTGGGGAGTGAACCATTGGATGGAAGACACTTCCCTCCCCCGCACCGTGTAACTCTTTCAAATAAACAAATAAATCTTTTTTTTTTTTTTTAAAAAAAAAGACCCGTCTATTTGCTGCCTATAAGAAACACATCTCGGGCCGGCGCCGCGGCTCACTAGGCTAATCCTCTGCCTAGCGGCGCCGGCACACCGGGTTCTAGTCCCGGTCGGGGCGCCGGATTCTGTCCCGGTTGCCCCTCTTCCAGGCCAGCCCTCTGCTGTGGCCAGGGAGTGCAGTGGAGGATGGCCCAGGTGCTTGGGCCCTGCACCCCATGGGAGACCAGGAAAAAGCACCTGGCTCCTGGCTCTTGCCATCGGATCAGCGCGGTGCGCCGGCCGCGGCGGCCATTGGAGGGTGAACCAACGGCAAAGGAAGACCTTTCTCTCTGTCTCTCTCTCTCTCACTGTCCACTCTGCCTGTCAAAAAAAAAAAAAAAAAAAAAAAAAAAAAAGAAAAGAAACACATCTCACCACAAAGGTGCATGCAGACTGAAAGTAAAAGGATAGAAAAAGATATTCCATGCTAACAGAAACCAAAAAAGTACTGATGTAGCCATCCTAGTATCAGACAAAACAGACTTTTACACAAAATCTGTTAAAAGAGACAAAGAAGGTCATTATGTAATGTTAAGGGATCAATTCAACAGGAAGATGTGACTATAATAAATGCATATGCAGCCAATTACAGGGCACCTGTCTATTGAAAAGAAATGTTTTTTAAAAAAGATTTATTTAGGCCAGCGCCGCGGCTCACTAGGCTAATCCTCCG